TTGCGGCAACAGGAGTCGTGGCGACGAGGAGGCGAGTGGAGCTGGCGTGACCGGGAGCGGCGCGTCTTGTCTGCGCGGCTTCGGAGTGGGCCGGATTCGTGGTCGTCGAATCGGGCAGGCCCGAGTCGGAGAGGAACGGCTGCTTCAGCAGCAGAATGAGCCGACGACGGAAGCTGCGCGAACTGAGAAAATAGATCAGACAATTGGCGCCGTGATTGGTCGTGCCCAGCATAGCGAGGAGGCGGCCACAACTGAACACCAACTCGTGCTGTTCAGGATCCGCGGTCTGTTTCAGATTGCCGGCGTCCTCGATGATGGAGAAAATGCAGAGCGGCACCGACGCGACGAGATGAAACAGAGACACCGGCACCAGCAGCCGGTTGGCCTGGTAGGCCGACCTGTCCAGAGCATTGGCCGGCGACGCAGCAATCGTAGACGCCGACACGGCCGGCAGGCCCTCCGGTCCCGGCGCTGGCGTCGGCATCTGCGCCGACGCCAGCGCCGAAGTCAGCCTCGACGGATGCCCATTGCCGTGGGCTCTCGCCTCACTGGCGAGCGGCATTCGAAAGGAGGACTGCAGCCGCTTCAAGCGTCTGATCGATCGAGCCGAGCGTCTCTGCGTCTGTCCTTCACTGCCGAGACAGACGAAAGAGTTGCTGCACCGAGCGCCGATCGGACAGCTCGTCGGGCTTACCTCCATTTTGCTCCACAAGTATTGATTGCGTATGTGCCTGGCTTTGTGGAGTACGCGCAGCAGGGCGAGATTCAAAAAGAGCAGAATAATCGATGGAATTAGGCTGTACTCGACGATGTCTATATAGAAGAAGGCGCGTCGTAGGCCTTTGTCTTTTGTGTCGCAGATCGGTTTGCCTTCGCTGGTGCCCGGTCGAGTTGAGGTCGAGTTGAGCGCGCCGGGCGGCTGAAAGATCTCGAGAATTGAGAGCAGCACTGAATTCTTCGCCAGCAACAGGACAAACAGACCGATCCAAACCATCTGTTTCTTGCGGCCGCGCCAAATCAGGCTGGCTCTGTGTGGCAGGCAGGCGCTGAGGAAACGCTCCATGGTGAGCAGGCAAAGCACCCAAATCGCGATGTCACGACACGCGTAACTGCAGAATGTTTGCAGACGACACATGAAGACGCCGCTGTCAGTGCGTATGTCGTAGTTGAAGACGAAAAGGATCCAGTAGCGCAACGGATTCACCCATAACACGAGAGTGTCGGCCAACGCGAGGGCAGTGAAAATGCCTCGGGACGGATGCTTTCGTCCCTTGGAGCCGTGACGCCGATTCGAGGGAACCACACGGAACGACTCGCACATGATGCTTCCGAGTTCAAAGGAGGAACGCGTCAAGGAGCTGATGGGTCGATTGCTGTTGCTCGACTTGCGGCATAAGATATTCGGCCAATTGGCTCGTCTCGCAGCATTCCGGCCTCTTGAGGGCCAGTCGGCATTGGGCGAGGATAGCTGTGGCCCGAAGGTAATTTTGTTTGGTGACATCTTTTGGCTGCTTTTAACCTCTGTCAGCACCTCCTCCTCCTCCTCCTCTTCCTCTTCTTCTTCCTCCTCTTTAGGCAAATTTTCTACCAGAAGCAGGTGTAGTCCTTGCTCCTTTCTTTCGGGCGCCATTTTCGCCATACAGTCGTCATTTTCTTCACTCCTTGAGCCTTCCATCTCAACATCCAACATCTCTTGGCCGTCCGAGTACTGATATTTCATGTGATTTTCGTCCAGTTCATTCACACCTGCCTCATTCCCCTGCCCCACTTCTTGAGCGCCTCCCGAATATGCAGGTTTATTTGTTTCTTCCAAATGTTTGGTCCTACCTTCCACAGCTTCAACTTCTAGGCTTCCATATTCGTCTGGTTTTGTACTCGGCTGTAGATCGTAAGTCTCCAGCTCCTCATTGTTGTGACAACAGAAGCGGCCTTGGTTTGATTGATCAAACCGTGAAGGGTCAATCACCTCGGCATGGCTGCATGGTGTGGACACGCGTATGACAACGGCCCTGCGCTCGGACAGGCTCTGTTGAACTAGTCTTAGCCGTTTCCGACGGGGCGACTGATGACAGCCGACCCCACGAATGACAAGTAAACTAAGGATATTTCCCAAGGTCCCGAATATAATAAGTATTGTATAATAGGCAATTCCGATTACAAACACAATATGATTTAAAGATCCATGGCGAGTTGATGCCAGAGAAAAGCCCTTACGACTTTCATTGGATCTAAATAATGCACTTTCGCGATCGACATGAGCAGGCAAAAATGACTCGTTCATTTCGCAGCATTATACAAAGAAACCATTACCAAAGCCGGTTAGAAGAATTCTTCTTGACCTGCAAAAATCGTTCCTAAACTTTGGGTTTAAATAAGCGCAATAAATTCGACTGGATGACTTTGATTGGCCCAGTAGAGAGCCAATTAGCTATCCACTAGGGAAATTGGGAATAGATTAACTCAACATTGTAAAATGCATAACTAGGCATGCATAAGTAAAATTCCTTGATTGGACAAGTTTTATATATCATAAATACCCCCTTTCTACTCTCCTAACAGCTAATTTTACGATTACTTTAGGAAATATCTTGTCCTCATTTTGGGAGAAACGAGGAAACCAATACCAACTGACTAACATCCCCGTTTACATGACAGAAATAAGTGAACTAAGCTTGAAATTGCTACTATCTTTGAGGTCATTATATAAATTGATCTAGTAGTGTGCCATATATATGAATATTAAAAACTCTCTTAAAATTAGGTATAAAATATCATAACAAAATTCGATTATCCTGAGAAAGAAGATTGCCTTTCTAACGGTTTTAAAGCTCCATAGGTGATCA